TCTTGGTCTTGCACAAGACTCTCGCAACAGTCTTGCAGTTACTTATTAGCTTATTACTATAGAGATATTACTGTATTTTTTTAGATAGGAGAAACATAACTAAGCCCGAATGAAAAATTAGAGGAGTTGAATGCAAAACTATATTAGTTATATCAGTTATTAACATACAGTAACTAAGATTGTCATGTATTAGTAACTTTTTTGAATTAATTTTTATTTAAAAAGTTGATTTTTTTTACCCGTCCTGGTCTTGGTCTTGCAACAATTTAGCGGCCTTGGTCTTGGTCTCGCAAAGTGCAAGACCAAGACTGATTTTGGGCAACACTAGCTATTGTCTGCAACCTTCATTTACAAGACTTATGAACCTAAGGAGTGAGAATTAATCCTATCATGAGTTCAAAACCTTACTCAGCATTTGAAACAGAGTTAATTTGAAATATTCTCCCCTGAATTACTATTAAATTTCATTCAGTGTACCCATTTTGTTTTAATTGATTTATCTTAAAAAACTAATGCACCATGACGTGAAGTTGTAAAAAAAATACTTCAAGAGTTTCAATGAAATAGTTATTCTCTATTCTAAAGCAGAGATATATCTACATTTGAAAAAATAAATAAAAGAGAGGATCTTGATTTGGGCTCAAAGTGGAGCAAAATTGTCCTTTTCACTCTGTTTCGCATAGCTTTTTAAAATTTTCTAGGAAGTGAGGATCAACAGGATTAAAGCCTATGACACTCTTCAAATGGGTCTGTGTCAGGTGACAAATTATTCAATATTTTTTCTTCGTCTGAATATTGAGATAAGATATCATATTTTTTCTCAATATAGGAATTTTTTTTAGTCTCTTCATTAAATAGTTCAATATGTACAGGCATGTGACAGGCATCTGGGTTGTGAAAGTACTAGGAAGTGAAAAAACTTTCTAAAAAAAACATTTCACATAGTTTTTTCTTGGTCATATGATCAAAATTTTATATTTAACAAATAATGATAAGATGAAAAGATTACAAAATGAAAGATCATGAAAAAAAAAATATTTGAAGAGAAGAATAGTTAGGGTGATCAGTCAAATAAGAAGGCAAAAATAAATGATAATATTTATTTTGACATTTGCCGACGTTTCAACCTGAAGTTCAGGCCTTCAATCAGGGATAAGAGAAGAACCAGATAACAAGGTATGAGAAACATAAGCAGTGTAGGTAAAAAAAATTAAAATAAAATGAAGTTGTTAGAATAATGACAGTAGTAAGAACTAAGAGATAAATAATTATAACCCTTACAAAGTCTGGAATGATGAAGTAAACATAATCAAAAAATGTGACATAAGTATTAAAATGGGAATCTTAGAATAAAATGTAAAAGAGAAAAAAGGAATATGAAGTTTTATAAGAAATGCAAATAAATAGTAAAATTAAGATATTGTAAATAGAATAGTTAGATAGAAAATTGAGGTATTGTAAAGTATATCGAAATGTACAGACAATGTATAATATAATAAAGAGTTAAAACAGAGAAAAGGAATGAAAGGAAGGAGGAAAGAAACTGAGAAGGCTGAAATAAGAAAGAGAAAAAACAAAAAACAAACCTGTCTCCAAATAGGTTGATGGAGAAATGAGAGTATGATAGCAAGGAAGGGGAGGGGAGGAGAGGAGATGTATTGTGGCGTCATCTCTAACAGTTATCTGACAAAGTTTAAACTAAAGTACTGGAAGCGTAAATAATGGACGAGAGATATATTACTCATAAATATTATGGATAATTAAATGAAAGTTTAATAGAAAGAGGATGGAAAAATCTGGAGAGGGAATACAACAGAGATAGTAACTGTTAAGTGATAATGGAGAATAATTGAAATTAATACATATCATATATAATACATATATATAAATTATCCTATAAACTATTTTAGAATTTATAAACTATCCTAATTACAGAAACCTTATCTCCTACAATTCAGTTGCTCCTCGTTTTTATGGACTTCCTAAAATCCACAAACCTGGTACCCTACTCCATCTGATCACTTCCAATATTAATTCTTCTTCAGTTAAACTTAGTAAATTCTTACTACCTTCCTTACAAATCTTCAGCCGCAACAACCCTTATGATGTACATAACTCATTCCATTTCTGTGAACAGCTACTCTCCTTTACCATTCCAGACAATTTTATTCTTTGCTCCTTTGAAAGTTTATTTACAAACATACCCATAGACAAGGCACTTACTATAATAGACGAAAATTGGACTATCATTGAACCCCACACCTCACTTAACCGCTCCTCATATCATGAATCCCTTCATCTATGCTGTAAATCAGGCTACCTCACTTTCCAAGGACAATTTTTTAACCAAATCTCCGGGCTAGCAATAGGTAACCCCCTCGCTCCCGACATTTCCAACATCGTTCTAAACGACCTTCTAGACTCCATTATCCCTCTTTACCCAGACGATATCATCTTTATTCGAAAATACGTAGACGACCTCCTCCATACATCAATCCAAATAAAATTACCGATATCCTATCAAATTTCAACTCTTAATACCCCCGCCTCAATTTTACAGTACAACGTGAACTCAATAATTCTCTCCCTTTTCTTGACCTTTTAATCATTAAAAATCCCAATATCACCATATCCACAGACTGGTACACTAAACCAACTTACAATGGCAGACTTCTGAATTTCCATTCTAGACATCCCTACCACCAAAAAGTTAATGTTGCTAAAAATCTCATCCACCATAGTCTCTCCCTCTCTGATCCCCAATTTCATGTTACCAATATCAAACGCATAAAACAGATCCTGTCAAACAATAATTTTTCTCTCCATGTCATTAACAAACTTATAACATACCACAATAATCGCTCTTCCTGAATCTCGACGTCCACTAATTCTCCACAACCCATTCTGGCCTCTATATACAGATCTCTACCTTATATTCCTAACCTTTCTGACTAAGTTTTACGATCTACTAACCTCAACTTACGACTTGCATTCAAATCTCCCAACACACTCTCTTAATTATACACATCCCTAAAAGATCCTGTTCCTCTCTCACACCGCTCTCATATCGTTTACCGCATTCCATGTAATACCCCCAATTGTTTTTCATCCTATATTGGTGAAACCAAAAATCTTCTAAAAGACCACATCATCCAACGTAAATATTCTGTATCCTCTCGTAATTTTACTGCCTCCAAATTATCCGAACATTCTCTCTCCCTCAATCACACATTTGATTTCGACAAAACTTCCATCCTTGCCTCAGTTCTCAACCATGACAAACGACTCATTTCTGAAACCCTCCACATCCAGCTTTAACCAAAGACAGTGAATCTAAAAACAGACAAACAGAACTTATCCTTAGCTTTTTCCCAAATTCTGAATTTATTAAAACATCCATAGCTATATTCCTTTCCTTTTCGCTGACAACTTCCTCATATATATGTATATATATATATATATATATATAAAACCGGAAAGCAGTAGCCCAAGATAGGCAGAGGTGAAGAAGGCTGGTTCAGGCAGCCAAAGATCTACAAGGTCTGTAGAGCCAACCAAAAAAAAATATATATGTGTGTATGTGGTGTGTATATATAGATAGATAAATGGATAGAAAAAAAACTTTATTCTGGGACTAAGTCCCTTTAGAATAACAAAATTGTACAAAAAAATAGAATACTACTGGCCTAAAAGTTTGAAACAATAAATAAAATTCATAAAATAAAATAAAAAGTAAAGAAAACCATTGTAAACCATATATATATATATATATATATGGATATGTGTGTGTGTGTGTGTGTGTATATATATATATATATATATATATATATATATATATATATATATATATATATATATATATATATGATATGTGTTTATTTCAATTATTCTCCATTATCACTTAACAGTTATTATCTCTGTTTTATTCCCTCTCCAGATTTTTCCATTCTCTTTCTATTCAACTTTCGTTTAATTATCCATTATATTTATGAATAATATATCTCTCTTCCATTATTTACGCTTCCGGTACTTTAGTTTAAACTTCGTCAGATAACTGTTAGAGATGACGCCACAATACATCTCCTCTCCCCCCCTCCCCTTGCTATCATATTCTCCATCAACCTTTTTGGAAACAGGTTTGTTTTTTCTTTTTTCTCTTTCTTATTTCAGCCTTCTCAGTTTCTTTACTCCTTCCTTTCATTTCTTTTCTCTGTTTTAACTCTTTATTATATTATACGTTGTCTGTACATTTTGATAGACTTTACAATATCTCAATTTTCTATCTAACTATTCTATTTACAATATCTAAATTTTACTATTTATTTTCATTTATATAACTTCATATTTCTTTTTTCTGTTTTACATTTTATTCTAAGATTCCCATTTTAATATTTATGTCAACTTTTTTGATTATGTTTACTTCATTATTCCACACTTTGTAACGGTTATTATTATTTATCTCTTAGTTCTTACTACTGCCATTATTCTAAAAACTTCATTTTACTTTAATTTTTTTACCTACACTGTTACCTACACTATAACTACACTTATGTTTACATTGTTATCTGGTTCTTCTCTTAGCCCTGATGAAGACCAGAACTTCAGGTCGAAACGTTGGCAAATGTCAAAATAAATATTATCATTTATTTTTGCCTTCTTATTTGACTGATCACTCCAACTATTCTTCTCTTCATTATTCACGACAGTCAACCATTTACCCACAATTAAAAAAATATTTGACTTGTTTCAACTGTGATATGGCCATATTACTGTTCAGGGGTATGTCCAAAATTTTGATATGCCCATGAATTTTCTCGTGAACTAATAATTTTTATTTCTCACAAAAGTTATTAAAAATTCTATTAATTATAAAATTAATAGTCAGGCTTAGAATCGTTTCTCAAATATTTAACTATACCACTTATAATTTATAGTTCAGTAAATATTAAGTATATTTTAATTAATGTTTCTTTCTAGAATATTTAACTAAGTATTCCTACCTTTTTTAGAACACTAAGATTCACATGTAACGCTAATTCAGTTTTTAGTTTGTCAGGTAACAAACCTAGGGCTGTATTAATATCTCCTCCTCCTTGAATTCTACCTCTGAAATTTGTATAATACATCAAAACATGTAAATATTGATTTTTTAGATTGTTGAAAATAAATAAAGTACAGTAGTCCAAAATAATAATACATAAAAAGTTTTTATATTATTTAAAAATAATTTCTGAAGCAAAGCTCCCTGTGAATAACATAAGAAAATAAAATAAATAAAAAATAATTGTTGGCCATAGATGTTTTAAATTAGACAATAATCAAGCATCTACATATTTATCACAACATGTAAAATACAATCTAGTATACAGGGTGTCCCGTAAGTAGAGGGAAATTTTTATATGAGCAATAGCAGACCTCAATATCTACAAAAAAGTTCATATGAACAATAGACTAATTTTGTGCATATAAGTAGGAAAATCAAGTTTTGTGTTTTTTTAAGAAAGTCATGTTTTCTGTTGAATAGGAAGCGATAACTGAAGAAATATTTAATTTAAGTAATTAACAATTGTTTCAATGTAAACTAGATAAAATTTTCTGCAAGGTAAAATAGAGCTTGTCATTGTTAAAACCATTTAAAGAAGACTTTTGAGCGGCTAAACTTGGCTAAGTTCTATTAAAAAAAAAAAAAAATATTTGCGATTTATTTTTATCATTATATTACGGATACCCCACTTTTACAAAAACTTCTTCGTTTAATAAGCTTTAAGTCTGTATTAATTAAGGTGAGGTTTAGTAGAGAAAAAATTGAGATTCTGCTCAAATTATGTAAAAAGATAAATATTTTTTATCTTTTCAACCAAAAGAATCCCTGTTTTCAGAAAAAATTACTAAAATTAATTGTTGCAAAACTTGTATTTCTTGTTTTTCCATAATCTGGGATGCATTATAATAATTCTCATTGCCTAAACACATATTTTATTTTTTTTAAATAATTTGAAAATATTGACTTTTTAAATATTTTTCAGGTAAATTGGTTATAAACTGGGTTTTTCACCCAGATCTCTTCTATAGAAATTGATCTGTATTAATAAGTGATAAAATAAAAATTTAGTCCTAAAATTTACCTTTAAAATAAAAAAAGCTTTTTGATTGTTTCAATTATATTAATGAAAACGTTAATTTTAGGACTAGAAACTTTTATTTTGTCACTAACAAATACAGATCAATTCCTATAACTGAGATCTAGCTGAAAATCATAGTTTATAACCAATTAACCCGAAAAATATTAGAAACATCAGTACTTTTCAAATTAATTAAAAAATAAAATGTGTGCTTAGGCAATTGTGTTTATTATAATACATTTTAGATCATGGAACAACTTAATTAATACCAACTTAAAGCTTATTAAATAAGGAGGTTTTACTGTAGTTAAGTTGGTTGGTGATAAAAACAAATCGCGAAAAATTTATAAATTATAAAAACGAACTTAGCTTAGTTTAACCACTCGAAATTCCTTTAGAAATGATTTTAACAATGATAAACTCTATTTATATTTAAAGGAAATTTTATCTAGTTTTTAATGAAGCATTAATATTAAATATTAATTACGTAAATTAAATATTTCTTTAGTTATTGCTTTCGATTCACCAAAAAATATGGCTCACTTAAAAAACCGCAAAACTTGGATTTCCTACTTTTATACTGAAAATTGGCCCATTGTGTATATGAACTTTGTTGTAGCTCTTGAGGGTTGCTATCACTCTTATAGAAATTTCTCTCTACTTAAGGGACACTCTGTTTAATAATAATAATTAAATAAAACAATGAACAAAACGTCATCTATCGATGATCTTTTAGGTATTTAGTAATAACGTTGGTATTGGATTCAAATATAAATTTGGAAACTATTGGCCTGTGTTTCTGCTCTATTTAACATAAATAGTTTTAGTTTGCACTGAAACTGATGTTGTCCAATTTTTTTAGTCTTGGCAGATTTACTAATAATTTAGAGGAGAGCAAAAACAATAAGTATTCATTTTCATAAAAGTGACGGGAACAATGATGAATTTATGTTGGACATTTGTTAATACAGGAACTGAAAAGAAGAGTATGAACCCTAGGCTATGCCTAAGGATGTAGTGATTCCTTAATTATGGTGAAAGGTGGAAAATTAAAACAAAGGGTTGGGAATATTGAAAAATATTTATAATTTTAATTTGGGAGAAAGGATAGAATTGTTAACGGAATCAAAAAATTTGAAGAAATCTAGGACCATTAATTAAACTGAATATGACAAAGATAAACATTATTAAGACCAGACAGATATTAACAAGGATGCATGATCTGAATGTCTGCAACTTATACTCTCTTAATTACTCTTTACTTGCTTTCAACAAAGGTAAATTCCAGGTAAGGCCCTGGAATCTTTTGGATTGAAGAAAGGAGCTTTACTTGAATGTCTTATAGTAGAGTGTAAATACTACAAGAGTAGATAATTGTGATTAAGAATTTTTAATAATTTAATTTTTTCATCCATTTATTTAACTTGTATAAACATTACAGATTTAAATCAGTTAGTATTATTAGTTATTACTCATATGAGGATTTATGTATAATATTGCAATATAAAATATTTATAGATAACGAGTTATTTTAAAAAACATTTTAGTATGAAATTAGGAATGATTGCTATATATAATAATGTAATATATATATAAAATAATAGTACTCTTTTGATTAGTCCTTACAAGCTTTGAAGAATTAAAATATTATTTAAACATTTACCTTGACCAAGAATAGTCATACCAACGTAGAATTCTACGTTTCATTCCACCAGGTACTTTATGGTGGCGCATATATGTCTTAGCTCCATCAAGTAGTCTTTCAAATTCTAGTCGATTAGCATTTCGGTTTGTGATTACATTTCCAACTTGTCCTAGAAACATGACTTACTTAAGATTATAGTTATTGGTATAACTATTTTTAAAACTTGGTTTACAAAATTGTAATATTTTATATACATATATACATACATTCAAAGAGGGCTTGAAATAAAATGTTAACTTTTATGTTTTGTCAGTTTTGGTATGATTGGGATCAATAATTTAATTTCCTTTTCTGTTATTTCAGAACTAAAACTTTTTCCTTGTAACTTTTCAAGTAAAGGTTATGCAGAGTTTTTATTTTTAAATTTATTTATATAAAAGTTATTCATTTTATCAAAAAGTCAATCTAAATGTGATAATTTAACAGTTTATTCAGAGATACTCAAAGATAGGGCACATAAGAATCTTCTTCTTCTTTATCATCATCCTCTCAGGATCCCGATCCTAAGCCAGCGCCTTCATTCAATTCATAGACTTCCCCTTCTTTTCACCAATCCTGGAGATGAGGTCCATCCATAGCAATCTAGGTCTTCCTTGAGGACGGCATCTGGTAGGCCTGCCCTCAAAAAACTTCTTTGGATCAGTCATCATCCATTCTGCACAGATGACCTAACCATACCAACCGCCTCTTTTTGACTGTTTTCCTCAAAGCTGGCACTCCGAGGTCTCCTCATATCCTTTCATTCCTTACTCTGTCCCTCCTTATTTTGCATGCTATTATCTGAAGGTACTTAATTTCTGCAGCAGTAGCTCTACTCCAGTGCCTGTCCAGCAGAACCCAGCTCTCACTTCCATAAATAAAGATAAGTAATTTTACTTTTTTCCAATTCCCTTTTCCCCACCACTATGTTTCATTGGTGGAAGTATATGCTGTTAGCTTTCTTAATCCTGTTTGAGAGCTCCTGGTCCATTTTCCCGTTTCTGCTGCGCACTATCCCGAGATAAGTGTATCCTCCAAGGTTTCTCCTCCACATTAAACTAAAACTTCCTTCTTTTCACGGCCAATGTACATCACCTTGCTCTTTCCAACATTTACTATCATGTCCTTTCTCTCCAGCTTAGCCTCCCATGCAGTAACTGCCTGCTGTAGATTTTCTTTGGAATCGGCAATAAGGACAGTATCATTTGCGAAAACCATCACTTGAGTTAGGATTGTCCTTATGTTCCACCTTCCCACGACCATCCATGTTGTCCTCCGTATTCTCAATATTTCGTCCATAAATACTATGAAAAGGAGAGGACTAAGGCTGTCACCCTGTATAACACCCCTTCTCATGGTGAAGGCCTCGTACATTATACCATTAATTCTAATTACTGCTTTGGAGTCATGGTATGTAGATTTTATGGCACTTATTAATTCTGTGGGAACGTTTTTAGTGGCTAATCCTGTCCATATTTCCTCCCTGTGGATGGAATCGAATGCTGTCTTTATGTTCAGGAATGCCAAGTACAAACTCTTTCCTCTATCCCATGACTTCTCAATAATTATCCTTGGTAAGAAGATGTGGTCCTGTGTTTGATCGTGGAGTCTTCCAAAAGCTGCTTGCTCCTCATCTAATTTGCCTTCAACATCTAGTCTGAGTTTTCTTTCCAGTATGGAGGAGTAAAGTTTATAGACTACCGGGAATAGACATATAGGCTTATAGTTTTGGCATTCACTAGAGCTTCTTATCTTGTGGATCGGTATGATGATGTTGTTCCCCCATTCCTTTGGCATAGATTATAAGAAAATATATTCTGAAACAGGTCCTGCAAAACTTTCTGTAATTGTGGACCTTCAAATTGTATAAGATTTGGAGCAATACGTCTTTTCCTGCTGCTTTGCCAATCTTCATTTTTTCTATAGCCCACATGACATCCTCCTCCCAGATCAAATCATCATATGCATCTGTTCGTGTTTCTTTCCTTTCTTCCACTCTCTCTTCCGATCCGCCAAAGAACAATGCAGAATAATCTCTTCAATATTCAATAATCTCTTCGCCGCCATCTCTTCAATATTTCCTTATCTCCAGTAATTATTTGTCCTGATTCATCCTTAACATTTCTAGTGGGTTTGCTCCCTTTTTATTTTATTTATTTAATTCTTTTCCAGAAAGTCTTGGCATTTTCCTTGTTATCATTCTGCAGACTTCTACCGAATTTCTTCCAATTCTTCCTCTTTGACAACCATTTTTGCTTCTCTCCTTCTTCTGACATAGAGCTCCTAGTTAGCTGCAGTCTTAAGTTGACAATACTCTCTCCAGGCTCTCTTCTTTCTATCTACCCCAGCTTTCACCAGATCACTCCGCCACTCAGATCTTTTACCTATGGTGTAGATTACCTTTGTTCTACATACACTTTCAGTAGTCTCAACGTATTGCTGACATTTAGTTCAGTATTGACATACCAGAGTTTCTGATCCAGAAGTTCTGCAAATAACCTTTCCAGCTGAAGAAAGAAGCGTTAATAGCATTATAGATTACATTGTGTACAGTAGAAGGATAAGGAGATACTTTACCGATGTAAAAGTAATAAGAAATGCTGAAATTGGTTCGGACCATCTTCTGATGATTGGAGACACCCAGACACGACCTAGAAAGAAAAGGCCCAAAACATACAAGAAGACTGACATTGCAAAGCTGCAGAATCCAGATAAGAAAAGAGAGTATGAAGAACTTCTGGATCATATAAGAATCAAGTAATTAATTTAAAATAAATGATATCAGCCCCATTACTGTTTATTTCTCAATTAACGCAAAATGTTTTTGAGAACTTAATTAAATAAAAATTAAACTTTCACCATAAACCAAGAACTTAATTACTAAAAAATTCCTTAGAATTTTTATTTTAATAACCTGTTCCTTAAACGTTTCATATAAACTGTTAAAATGGAAATTTTTTTTAAAATGTTTCAACCTCTGTTTTCATATATATATATATATATATATATATATATATATATATATATATATATATATATATATATATATATATATATTAAGATCAACATCTTTTCTTGTATTAGCTCACAGGTCAATTTTATTGGTCTGTGTTAAAAACATATTCTTCATGAATTATTTTAATGATAAACATCTCAGTTAATTTTTGAGTTAAGATTATTTCATACTACCTAGTATAAATATATTATATTCCTATATTTTAGATATAATTAAATTAGAATTAATTGTTTTTTAAATATTTTTTTTCTTATTATTTTCTTTTATTTTTTTTAGCTAAGAAGCAATTATTTTATTTCATAGTTCGTTTCATTTCTTATTTGTATTGTATATGTGTTTTGTAAATAGTCTGACTAGTTAGATTTTGTAAACATAGTTTGTTTACTTAAGGATTTTTATCTATCTATTTTTTAATGTAACAGTTTTTCTGGCCAGATATTATTCTTTTTTTTTTTTTCTGCAACACTGTTTTTCTTAAGCAAAGATGGTTAAATGCTACTCTGAGTACTGAGCACCAAGTATTTTACTCAAATACTAACCTTTTTCGAGTACCAAAGAATTTAATTACTACTTCAGTTGATGTCAAACGATTAACTGAAGTAGTGATTGAATTCCCATTAGTGATTAAATTTGAGTATAATACTTGGCATTCAGTACTCAGAGCAGCATTTGCCCATCTCTGTTCTTAAGGGACTCACAGAATGAAGGGACTCCCATGTTCTCTCTCCCTCTCACTCCCCCCTCTCACACTCTAGAGATAGTGAAATGTGTTTTCAAATAAAATCTAAACAAATAACTTTACATGAATAAATATATATTCTTCTAATCTGGAAAATGTTATAAAAAATTAAACATACTTTGAACATATTAATTGTTATATAATGTCATTCGTATGACCAATCATTCATTGTACATTTCTACTTACCAACAATGGTTGCAAAAATGAAGACTCCTATTAAGTAGCTGACAATCGTGAATATATATCTGAAATTAGATCACGTATTAATTTTTATAATAGTTACAACTTTTATCATTGAATAACATATATTTGCTAAATAATTCTTCATTTATTTCAATAATAGATTTATGAGAAAAATTGTTATTAATTTGTTAATGAGTGTACCAAACATCCATAAATTCCTTTTTCAACATAATAAATATTTAAAAATTCTTTTTTATTTTACTTAATGTTATTTATTATTATTATTGTTTGTTGGGCTCATTTGTAAGTTGCGTTAAATCCTTCTAGGTAATTTTTAATTATTTGTTTTATAAAATGTTTGACATTTACTAGTTACTTAAATAGGATTAAAGTTAAAATGATTGATTTATGTACCATAAATATTTTTTATGATAATTTTATATAAGAAAGTGGATTACATCCAATCATTTAAAGCATTTATAATTTATCATTATGAATCCATATGTTAGTAGTTAATTGTATGAAACAGATAAGCTTTATGTTAGCTTTGATTTTATTTGCAGAAATATAACACAATGTAAAACAAAGAAGACATTTTAAATATTTATTTAATTGTGACATGAATCTGTGGATCTGAATTTTCTTGTCAAGAAATTTATTAACTTGCTATATTTAGTAATTATGACTCTAAAATAGATTTATAAATGTCTGAAAATTTTTGCAACCCTGTATACATAAATAGTAATAGTAAAAAAAGAAGATAAATGTTAATACATTCTCTAAGTATAGCTTGTATTGATTTTTCACTTTTTAAAGGTAGGCATTGAGATACACAAGTAGGTACGTCATGTTATTCCTTCTGTGCTAAAAACATTATTTATTATTATAGTTTTTTAATCAGCTTTCTGACATATATTAGCAAATCTACTTGGGATGGGTAATTATTATTTTAGTATGACCAACTATCAGAAATTTGACTGGATTTGAAGTACTAAGTAAAGATTTGAATTCACCGGAATGTCAATACTTTGTACATTTGAACTTTCCATTGCTGATAAAAGTGAGCCTGATCAATTAATTACTATTAACTTTCAATTAAAACATGAAGGTTTTATTTCATTATATTTTTGTTAGGCTAAATGTTCATTAAAAATAGAATAGGAATCGTAAAATAACTTAGCCAGTTCAGCTCAAATGTATCTGTTTACTCTGCATTATGTCATTTAAATCAGTATTTACAATTTATTGTAAAAAATAAACTATTTATTTTGATATAAAACTAAAACTATATAATAAATTTATTTTTTGGTACAGTGTGATTGGGTCAATTTCATTTTCACTACTTGGCAATGGAGTGGTTCATATGTCAATGCTATTCATATTTAATTTAAAATATTATGTTTCAAGCTCGTGAATATGAAAACAATAGAACTGTGTATGAAATAAATGGGTGTTTATTTCAAGAGTGTTTTGAATGATTTAAGAATATAATATTTTTTGATCTAGAATCAATGTTTTTGTCCTAGACTAAATTATAATTATTATTTAAGTTTTATGGTAAAGTGTAATTTAAAGTAGACTAAAGAAAGTGCCTATATGACCTGGCAATGATTTTTATCACAGATGATACTTCGATTTCTGTTTATGATATTTTAATATTTTTCAGAAATATTAGGAATTTTTATATCTATTGGAGTTATCATGATGTTAGTTTATTTTAGGTTGTAATTAATTGATTCACTAGTAATTCTGACTGAACTGGTACTTTAATTACACCTTCAAAGAGCATATATTTTGACTTATAAACCAAGTCAATTTCAATTAATGTTTTAAGATAATCAATTTCCAAAAAAATCAAGCACAACTAATAAATCATGAGTTATTGATTTGATATTAAGTATATATAATGCTAATTTGACACAGTAAATCCTGAATATGAAAAAAAAAACATGATAATTTTATGCGTTCAAATTTATTAATTTTTTGCTCTTAGATTTTATAAACAACGGTTAAGAAAATATCTGGCAAGAATAATGTTAAAATTGGGTTTTGATAGTTTTTTCAAAATATCAATTAATTCATTGTCGACAAAATATGTTGTGAACAGAATAATGATGATAGATCTAACTTACGTACAGAAATTAATCTATTTGTTGAATTTTCATCTAAAAACTCAATGTCATACATTAGATAGATTATGTCATAAAGATTAACATTACATAATAGTTAACATTAAAGCTAAGTAAATTGTTTTTTACATTAAACCAATTTAGGTAAGAAGAATAACTATATATTATTTTATTCTATTAAAATAATGAATTAGTTAAAATATTTTTTGGGATTATAGTATTTATAAATTATATGGTTATAATTGGATAACCTATAGTTGATCCTATCTTTATGAATATAAAAATGTATATTAAAAGCCATTATTATTATGGGAAAATGTAGTAATTGAAAAATTTATTTCACTTATCATGCAGACTACTGTGCATACATACATTTTATTCCTAACCTAGAAGCTTTTTGAAGTAGCAAAACAAACAAAATACAGCACAAAATGAAAAAAAATATATATAACTGACATTATTTTTCATCATGTTAGACTGAGTTAATTCATTTATCTTTTCTTTTTATTTGGATAATCAAATCACAGACTGTATTTTAAATAAAAAGACAATTAACTAGATATAATAAATAAAAAAACTAATCTATTTTTGATTTTCATCAAGAATAATTATGAAAAATAACTTATGGAAATAAAAACATTTTTAAAGATAGTTTAATGATTTCATGATCAATTTACTTTTAGTGAGAGAATGAAAATAAAGTTAGTAATACTGATTATGCAATTATTTTTTGTTCATTTAGTGTTATAGTACAATTAAAGTTAATTTTTAATTTGTTTAAATGTAAGAAGAGAGAATGCATGTAATAATGTTTTCCAATGGGAAGTTTTTGTATAATCTTAAAACTGCAATTGACTAGATTACACTTCTAAAAATAAATCATTTTTTTATTATGACTTAATTGTTTATAAATCTGTGCTGGTGTATTTGTATTCTTTAGGAATCCCAAACATGTATCTATAAATGAGCAAGTAATACTGATCATTTCCGGCAGCCACATTTTTGCGAAATTCATGTAAAATTCTTTAACAAATTGAATGTTTATGAGAAAAAAATAAAATAAAATAATAATAAATAAAATTCTAATCTTAGGTTAAATTTTCAATGGGCCGCTGGATACTGACCCCATATTTGAGTTGAACTGGAGTAGGCGGGATTTGTGTCCTCGCATAAGAAGACTTTGAAGGCTGCCTGTCCTAGGACTACAATAACACAACCATTGTTACCATGATATCACAAACTGAGGAATACCAGCTTGGAATTATTTAAAGCTTTTTCTTTATCACATTAATAATTTTTGATGGAGTATTCACATGTATAGTTCATCGAATCTAATGATGAGTTGGAGATTAGCACTATAACTATAATAAAATCTAAAAATCATAAAAACTATAATACACAATAAATAACTAATAAATATCGATGGGAAATACAGTAGAACTTATTTTTAGAATAGCTTTAAGAGTAATTTTATTGAAATGCTTGACCTATATTTTACTGTTTATGTAAATACTTCCTGACTGTATATTAAACAGTGTATATGAAAGGTGTTACTTATAAACTTTTTCTATAAAAGATATGTTTGAAACAATTATGTAGACAGTCTTTAAAGTGTTTAACAGGACTTTATATAAAATTACAAATGCTTCATTATTTTTTACATTAATGTTTTCTTAGGGAGATAAATTATTAATTTTAAAACTGTATAAACTTTCTTACAGACTTGAATTTAGATTCCTATTTTTTTACAAATTAAATATTTGGATTATTATATTTTTATATTTTCTTCCGAAAAGTACATAACATACACTAATAATATAATTTTTAATATATTTAAAATTTGTTCTGTTTTAACATTTGGCTCTCATAATTAATTAAAGTTATTTAATTATTTTTCCTGTCATCAATATGTCGTAAATTTTATTATTAAACAATATTAGCATATGGTATTTTATATATATATTTAAAAAAATGTCTTAAGTCGACCTTTGAGTATTATATTTTAACATAATTTTTTAATTGGGAATTAGGTCACTTAATTATTCAATAAACTACAAAATATTCATTAATCATGCTGTTTATTCAGCATTAGGTCTTTTTTTTTTTCTATAGTTAACAATTAGATCCTCTTCAATGTTTTAAAATGGAACCTCGATTTCTCAGGCCAGGGGCATACTGACAGCCCCAGCACCATCCACTAACACAGATATTAAGCTACTCATACTCAAAGAATCTGAAAAGGATTCCATTGTTAACTATAAATAAAAAACTGGGATCAAAACGTCGAATAGACAGCAGGATCAATGACCATTTTGTAATTTATTGAATAAGCATTAAGTGACCTAATTCCCAATCCAATAATCATGTTATTAAATAATTAAATAATTTATAAAAATGTATGTATGTATATCTATATATATATATATATATATATATATATATATATATATATTTTTATAAATTATTGAAATGTGAATTAGTTTTATAGTTATGATTCAAACTACTGTTTTAGTATGTCGGAATATAATGGTTACTCTATTTTTACTCTGTTAATGAAATAGAAGTGTTGTCACTCCGAAACTTTAAAATTGAATAAATTTCATATCCAAAATATTTGTTGGCTTAAATATTTTCTGAGATGCCAAATTTTTTTTTTTAGTTATTGTTAAATTATACAGTAGTAATATTTATATTTTATAAAAAGTAACTTGGAATCCACAGTAATAATTTTTAATAATTCCAGCAAGAAAAAAATCATTAAAAAATAAACTTATTCCACAAATAGATGGGTTTATTCAATTCATTGATTATATTATGTATCTGGGCTCCATTGTTATGGTCTGTGGCTAATAATGATTTTAAATTTTCCATAGAATTGAATTTTTGAAAGTTATGGATGTTTTTATAGTTAATAAAGAAACTATAATTAGTATATTTAGAAAAGTAATATACAGAAAAATACGGCTTGAGGGAGAAATATTTGGGTTACTTGGGTTTGTTTTCAATCTTATATAAAATGACAATTAAGTAAATGGCAGTTTTAAGGTACTATTCGATATATTGAACAAAACACTGTGGTTTAACTTCTCTCTTGTGAGTAAATTTTAGGTTAAATTAAATCACAGGTCAAGTCTGGTACTTGGTTATTTAAAAAATTACTAAGTTATCCTTATGAGACTGATAGTAGCCATTTCCAGAGCTAGTTGTCTTTGGGGTCCCAGGATTCAAGCCAATATTAAAAAAACACACAATTAATTCAGTTGGTTCAGAAAGGACATATGAGACATTTTCACTATTTAAAAAAAAAGCAGAATACTATTCAATACTTTAATATTAAAATATAACAATCAATCTGTACTTTATATGTGTAATGAAAGTATGCATCTGTAGTGAGTACAGTATTTTAGGTGAGACTGTCTATAGTGACTTGTATATTTTTGTAATTAATTATATTTTGTATTTATTTCTCATTATTTTGTTTTTATATTTCATTTATTTTAGTTAACCATAGGAATTTGTATTTTTTTTCCAGCTGGTTTATTTATTTTTACTAATTATTATAAAGATACTCAAGCCAGCCTGCCAGCTATCTTGTTACTTAATCAGTAATTTAATATAGATGTAATTATAGATTTACTTAAAAAGTATTTTAGTTAATCTATAATTGTAACTGGGCTTCATGTTAATTACACTACCTTCTGATATTCTTGTTTTTTATGTATCACAGATATATAATTATGAAGTACAGTTGTTGTTTATACATCAGAATAACCTAATTAACATCTAGCAACTACAAATATATTAATAATATACCGAAAACAACACTAAAAATCAATTTGTCATTTCTGAAGTAATCAATTTCAATTATTCTAGCCCAAAATTAAACTTTCAAAAATATTTTATTCATTTCAGTTGAAAATAATAATAATGAAGCTGAATATAGTATCAATTAATTGAGGGGAATGTTTTTCTTTAATCATAACATTTTCAAAACTATTGTAAATGATCTAAAAAAAGAAAATAAAGTTTTTATCACTTCTTTGAAGTTTGTAAAATATAGACAAATCACAATAATATTATTTTCCTACGGACGATTTTATGTTTTGATAAGGTCACAGTGTAAAGTGTATTTAAATTTGTAAAAATAATTTAAAAAACGAAATAGAATAATATATATTATTTGGAAACTTTCCGTGAAATAAGTTATAACAATGTAAAATAATCTTTTAAATATTATGTGCTGAATTTTTTACTATCAAATAATATCTATAAAGAACATTAAAATATTAAAGTATCTATAATTAAAAAAACAAACTTATAACTAAAATAAATTACTAATTTCTATGCAATATTTATTATATATTTATTACACTGGGAAAAAATTACAAGATATATGAACATTTTTTATATTATACAATTAAAAAGAAATTCAAAGGTGAACTGCGAATTCCTCTCATTTGATAATTTCTTAGATTCTATATATTGATGTTCTTTTTTTAAAAAAAAGCCAAGTCTCAAAAAATTTAAAATTATTTTTTGGTTTATTGTGGGCCGTAAATCACTACTTCTATCAATCCTTGTGCAATGTATATATAAAAAAAAATTAAAATGTTCTAAGAATGGACTACTGATTAGCAGAAAATACTGATGATGTTCAGTGATCTCTCTGGTCTTGGCCAGTACTAAAAGCCTTCATGTCAGTTACTTACCTATTAAGTTTTGCTATCTCAATAATTTCTTTAAAAAAAAAAGAATAGAAAAAGTTTTTTTTGCTGATTGTGTTTTTTATAATTTTGCTAAAAAGCGTTAAGCCTTTTTCAAAAACTATTACGATATCCTCGCTGCACCATAGGACATAGAGAAGGCAAAAACATTGAACGCAAGATATGTTGATGGCACTAGTATGCTCCACTCAAGCCCCCATTCTAGTACCAGCTTCAGGGAATCCATTGCTGTGCACTTGAAAAAAAAAATCCTACTCTTATAGACAATAGTAAACCGCATAATTTATTTTTTATAATAGTTGCATAATAGGGTGATAAATTCATGTGTCTAATACAAAATACAAAACAACTTCGATGCACAATTAAAAAAATAAATAGAATGAAAACACATCAGTTATATTTATTTCAGGTGTTTACAAGGTGGTAGACATGTACTCTTATTAGTATTATAACATGATATTTTATATATGTAAATAATTTTTAAAAATATTAAAAAACACATTGATAATTTGCCTTAATATTCATGCTTGAAACATGACATTTACCTTTATATGAACATAATATTAATCAAGCGATTGATAGAGGGAATCCATCAAAGATAGAGTCTAGTTTAGTATCTGTAATATTATATAATTATTAACTATACAGTTTATTGAACTTCTTGTGGGTTATTTTTAAGTAAATGATTCTGAAATATTGTAGAGGCTGGCCTCTCTTCATAAATTAATGGAGGGGGGCACAAAGTGCCTTTTCCTCCCTTCCAGTGAGTGACAGCGCATTAGAGCCGAGCTAAATTTATATATATATATATATATATATATATATATAAAATTAACAACAACCCCACAAAAAAAAAATATATATATTATACTGTAAATCTGTCTCCTTCACTTGGAAGTTTCATTAAATTTTACTAATTAATAACCAATTGATTAATTTTAAATGAAATCCTGGTACTATTGTACAAGTGTTGCTCCACTTTGAGGAGTGTGCCAAGATCTTATTATCACGCTATAGATGAGATCGAGAATGGCCAAAGATTGGCAATGTGTTGATGGTATCACATTCCTTTATACAGATTGCTATTTACGACTTTCTATAACTCCCAACTGGTCTATATCTGTTAAAATCGTGGATTTCATTAGGCTCAATTCCGTGTTGCCGAAAGACGAGTCTTGGTCTGGGTTCTTGTCTTACACAAGAGTCTTGCAATAGTTGTGCAGTTACTTATTATTTAATTGCTATTTATTAAACATGTTACTTTATACCTCAGAACAAGCACTACAGAATAGATACATTTAAATGTTTTATTAACATTTCTTTTTATCTTGCTCCTGTCCTGACTAATATATAAAAATTTTCAAATATACATTTTAATATTCCTCAAATATACAATTCAAAAACAAAATAAACGTTTTTGAGATTTAAGACAAAGTTAAAATGTTAAAGTACTGTATTATATCTCAAAATAGTCTCAGTTTGACTTTACTGCAAGAAGCAAGAATCTAGTAGGTGTCTTGGTTTTTCTTAAATTTTGCAGGATCCAATCTTGGTATTGCAAAGTTCAAGAGCAAGACCGATTTTGGGTAAAAATAGCCCAATTACACTGCTAATTACTGTAATCGTCTTCTGCTCACTACGATCGCTCAAAAGGGATAAACAAACCCCCAACGAGTCCTTACCAGATAGTTAGATCACCTCCGTCTACTTTCGAACACACTCGGCCATTCTCATCATTTCATTTACAGTGTGATCATGAGATGTTTTGCCACCCGTCAAATCCCCCGTCAAGTACCCAAATCCTATTTGATGATATTTTAGTAATAGCATGCTCTAACAGTAATAATAAAATAACAGCACATAATTAAACATTGTATTAATATCATAAAACTACTTATTTGTTTTTTCTTCATTTCCAAATGACCTGCTAATCTTCTTCTTTCTAAGAACTGATTTGATCATTTTCAATTGTAATACAATTCAAAGCATCAAAATTGAGCTACTCATTTACTTAATACTAAGTTTAGTTTATAAAACTTAAAAATTTAGAATGATAAAAATTATTTTATTGAGCTCAAATGTTTCTTGATTAAAAAGTAAAAAACAAACTTTATAATATTCAAAGGTAATGAAAATTGGTGATGATTTCTGTCTCAAAAATAGATATAATTAATCATCAAATAAATTAATAATATAAATCAATGATTTATATTGCTAAGTAAAATCCACCACATTGAAAAGAAAAACGTTGTATTTGAAAATCCATACAACTCATCAAGTGGTGTAAAGAAAACATCAATAAGTTAACATTTACTGTCAAAATAAAAGTTTCTTCTTGGATATACATCACTAACATTTTTTTTAAAAATTAATGCCAAATACAAATATAAAAAAACCATGAGTAGTAGAAACTTTAAACCAAACTGAAATCTAATTTAAAACTTTTTCTTAAAATAAATATCGTAATTTTGAATAATAAAAAATAAAATAAAATATACAATGTGTGAATGAATTTTTACAATTATTCCGCAATTCTTTGTTCTCAACTTCAGTTTTTCTTTCTTGATTTTGTGGAAATGAATTCTTCTTGTAACCATTTCATTCTTCGCAATATGAGTAATTAACGTTACAAAATATTTTGAATATTGATAGAATTGAACAACTTGCACCAGCAACAAAACATCATAAGGATCATGAGTACAACAATAAACATCATTAATAATGATTAAATATTAATATGTGAACAAATTAATCCATGATAAGAATCGAATGTTAAGATCTTCAAGTTCTGTTGATGAAAATTTAACTGAGAGTGACTTTTAATTGCCAAATATTAATTGTAAAAATTAAATATTTAACTTTAGTGTATGTCAATTATTATAGTTTGTATTTTTAACTTTCCGATTTCTTTTTTCTTGCTTGAAGTGGATTGGTGATCTCGTCTTCATTCTTGCTGTTATGTTCAGAACATGTGTGGTGTTTAATTGTGATAGAGATAACAAATTAAACTGAATTGAAGAAAGAACATTTTATATTATCAATTTTAAACATCAAACATTATGTTGAGATTGACGTGGTAGTGTCAAGTAAAAATTAAATGAAAAAAAAAAAAGAAAGTGTAAATTACCACAGTTCTACTGCATTTTCGATCATACGTTTTGTTTATACAATTCGTTGATTTAACAATATATGAATTTTGAATCCAATGAAAAATATCTTACTGTTTATTTGTCTCCGGTGTTGGTAGATCGCCTATGGTAGTAAGAGTAAGGGTAGACCAGTACAATGATCCAAGGTATTTGCGGCTAAGTGAGGCGTAGTCCCCAGGTCTGTATGGGTAAACCCAGTCTCCTTGGAATCCCTCAGCCTCCGACAGTAAATAATAAAAGCATCCAAACCAGTGAGCCAGAATCAAAAGGATGTGGATCAAATTCACAACTCGCCAGACATTTGGATAGACAGTACGGGATTCAACAATATAATAATAGTTGTAGACTCTATAGACCTGTTAAAAAAACATAAATCCATTCAGTACATATATATGTACATATATATATATATATATATATATATATATATATATATATATATATATATATATATATATATATATACACATATATATATATCAGTGTTATAAATCAATAACATAAATTTACATTTAATGTATAGTAATCTATAAAATCTATAATCCGTAATGGTGCACATATTGAAATATTCACAAGTTAGATATTTTTTAGTTAATAAATAAAATGAATATTAATCCTTATAAAAATGGCTCAATATTGAACCTAAACTAATAGTCTGCGGTACAGACCCCATTTTGTCAAATCACCAACTCTAAACCAGAGATGGGCAAATGCTGCTCTCATTACAGAGTAACAAGTATTTTACTCAAATTGAATCACTATAAGGAATTCAATCACTATTTCAGTAAATCCTTTGATATCAACTAAAGTAGTAATTAATTCTTTGGTACTCTAAAATAGTTAGTATTCAAGTAAAATACTTTGTACTCAGTACTCAGAGTAGCATTTGGCCATCTCTGCTTTGTGAATGCCTTAATTTTTTTTTAACCTACAACTTTTTTATTTACGAAAATTCACAAAAATGAGACATTTTGTGATTAATTAATTTAACAAGGTACTAAAATATCACGAATACCTATTTATTTCCCATCTGAATAATAAGGTAATTTGAATACAAATTCGAGAAAAAAGGTATACACGGTATACACAGTGGTTCAAACCCCCCTACCGTGCCCTCCCCCACCACATCCCTATAAATTGCATATTGTTTTGTATAATAAATATATATGTATTTTTTCTTGTTCATGCCTTTATTTACATTTAATTTCCCTTTCTCTCTCTTATATACAGTATTAAAATGCTACAAGTATTAAAATGTTAAAAATTATTCAATAGAAACAATAACAAAAACGAAAGTTTATATACATCAACTTTGAGAAACTTTAGGAATTTGCCTACGGCCTCATCGAAATCCACAGTATTTAAATATTTCGTTTTGTAGGTCGTTGAACGTAGTAGACCATCCAACAATGTTCTCTTTTACTTTTGATATTTCACCCTCTCCATTTCTAGGACCTACTATATTCTTCACTATGCATCTCAGTGTATTGTTTTTCGCCTTTCTGTGATGTTTTTTTGCAAAGTGGGATAATTTAACTTTTTCATTTCAAGTGCTGGTTATAATAATTATTGAATTATTCTAGTAATGTCACACGTATTTCAATAAAATTGTGAAACTACAGTTTATTGGATTTCAGATTAATATCAAGCTTATTCAAGATAAGAAGCTTTATGAGCATTATTTTATTTGACTAACATTAATGGTATTGACATAAAATCATCCAAACTACCTTCAAGAATCGTGGAAATCTTAGGATCGGCTTCACACCTGTGTTGCGTTGTATCAAATCAAGGGGAAATAAAGCGAGCAAATCGAGTAAGAAGTTCTTCGATTTGATGTAATGTCCAGCAAGCTTCTTTGAGTCATAGACCATGAGCCCTTGCTCGAGATACCCAGTACGGAACTGGACCCCAACGTCTAACAGAAATACTATGTCGGTGATGATATCCATGGATGACCAGAAGTCTTCTTGGTACTCCTGCAGTTCCGGGAACGCTTGACGTACTATAAGTGTCCAAAGGTTGTAGAGGACACTTATTGAAACGAAGAAAAGCCAACAATAGTAGAAGTTGCCATCCGTGTTGACCACTGTGCATGGAGTCCTGGAATTTTTGCGCCTTTTGCGATGGTTCTTCCAACCGAGGCGGGACATGACGCAAGACACGCTACCGCTCGGCGCATCGCTGTCCTCACACGGGTCAACTGTCTCCTAGAACAAAACAAAAAAAAAAAGATTTATTTTAAATCGGTTAATTGACAATTATTAGACTATTTCAGACATAAGGTAAATAAGTGATAGTGAAAACTTTTCTTATACAGTATTCCTAAAAAAATGGTGTACATTCATATAATATTTACAAAATGATATTCTTTCATGCAATGGATATAAAATAAGACATTTACCCTTAGTATGTATTGAATACAATCATACAATGGTAATAAATCTTAGGGTCAAAAATTTAAAATTTGATTAGGATGTCATCTGCTCGATTTATTTTTTAAACTGTAGAATTAACAAATTTTTTCTAGGTCAAACTATCTAGAGTCAGATTTTCTTGATAACCTGTTATCATAACTGACACACCGAGGTTCGTTTGAGGAATAACGAAGACTATGTTTCAAAGAATAATATTCCACATTGATTATCTCACATAAGAACCATTCTCCCTTGGATAGCGATGGGAGTTTTGAGGATAAATTTTGGGCATTGCTTTTTTTTTTTTTATTCTTTTAAATATAATAGTAATTAGTCTGGAATGAAAAGAAAGAAGACAAATAAAATTATGTTTAAGCGGTACTTGAAGGCCTGTCAAAAAGACAAAAAAAAAAAAAAAAAGAAATTACAAGAAAAATTATGCTTTTAGGGATTATTTTTTCTTGACAGGTGCTCACATTTAGTGGATGTATAGTACCGAATGTCTATATTGAATATATGTTGTAATTTAAAAAAAGTACACATATTGTGATTTGAAGTATTTAGTTCAGTATAACTCACAGTAAGAAATATGAAAAAAATAAACCTGTGAAAAAAACATGTTCCTATTTTGGAGGGCTTCAGCCCGAATACCTTCCTCCCCTGTAACTAGCGGTAATTATTAAGCAAATAGATACCTCTCAGTTATAAAATTAATAGATTCTTACATACAATAGAGAATAAGAATACAATAGAGAATTGTACTGCAAGTAAATTAAGAAAAATAAATAAATAATTGTTACAACGCACCTTGACCATTAGAGTATATTTATTTTAAACACATTCGATGAGTGTTCGTTGAAACATCTTCTATAGACTTCATGTGAGATGTACTTTACTTTTCTAGCCTTTGTATGATATTTTTGTTTTTATAAACTTTTATTATTATATTAAACAACTGTGATTCTGTGTCTATGATTCTAACATCATGATGAGCACCTGATCGATCAGCTTATGCGAAAGCCTGTGTTTCTACCTTGGCTCTCAGAATTCGCTTGTTTTTCACCGAAATCTCTGAGATTATTCATTTAAAACAAGTCAAGGGTGCATAAGAACAATTTATATTTACTGTGTGCAGTTATAAATTATAATATTTTTTATTCAATATTATTTTTTCTTTTATGCGATATTACCATCAGGTCGTGTCTATTAAGAGAATTCGACCGTTAGGCTCAACACCTCGTTCTTCATCTTTCAAACAAAAGCCTCGCCAATCTCGTCAAACACCTCCCTGTGACCCTCCAGTACCCCTGTTAGCTTCAGAGAACATGAAACCCAGTAAGGTACATTATCACAAGAGACAATTGAAGAAACTCAGCCTGAATCTCTCTTTTTTACACCCAACCCCTATCAGTTGCTTCAGAATTATAGACAGGTAATGGAGTCGGCTGAAATACCAAATACCCAAATACGGCTAAAATACCCCGGACCTCCACCGATATTCATTAAAAACATAATAAATTTTCATTTACTAAGCTTTCAACTAAACAAAATAACAGGCACTAGAAACTACTCATGTCTAAGCAGAACAAAAGACACTCAGATATCACCAGATACAGCTGAAACCTATAGAAAAATAGTGAAATATCTAACAGAAACCAACGCGGATTTTCATACATATCAATTACGGCAAGAGCGAGCATTAAGAGTGGTTATAAGAAATCTACACCCCTCAACATTAACCGAGACAATATAAAAAAAACTAAAAAAAATAGGTTTTATAGTGCACCAGGTTACAAATGTTCTGAAGGAGAATAGGGAACAGCCAGTAGTAAAAGTTCCTCTACCCTCATTTTTCGTGGACTTAGAGCCAACTTAAGGGATCGAAAAAATATACGAAATAAGAAGAATGTACTATACAAGTGTGATAGTAGAGAAGGCATATTCTAAGAGGGTAATCCTACAGTGCCATAATTGCCGCACCACATGGACATATGGCCACACCAATATTTACTGCCATCATTTGCCGCGTTGTGTCAAATGTGGAGAGCAGTAAAAATCCGGTGTGTGAAAAAACTAAAACGAGATCCTACAGTTTATACTTTGTGCCTTCAAGGACATCCAACGAACTACAAAGGCTGTCTGATATATAAGAATATCAAGTCAAAATATCAGAAATTTCGGAACCAAGAAGAAAGATCAAGAAGAGAAACTACCGGATCAAGAAGAGAATCTTGCAAATTATTAGACCCAACGGTATCTTTTGCACATTTTCTGGGGGGTAAAAATGACATTACTAATTATGAGAACCTGCCGCAACAACAATATACGCCTCAAGATCCTGAACCCCATCCTTAACATACTACTACTCGAATTCCGCCTAATCCACAACAATTATATTAACACCAAATTCGTCACATTCCTCCTCCATCAAATATCACATCTTTATCTCACCAGTTTACTTACATCATTCCTCTCCGAATTCAGATCTCTTGTTACTCCTTTGGTATCCCTTCTCATCAATACTGTATTAAATTTTGTCTCTCCCCCCAAAGAACCTTAAATGACTTTCAATAAAACTATATCCATTCACATTTGGAATGCGAATGGTGTTAGAAATCATACAGATGAACTATCTGCTTTAATACTTGAGAAGAACATTGACGTGCCACTAATTACAGAAACTCGACTAACCACTAAACAGCTCTTCAAAATACCACAATACTTGGCATATCGTACTGACCATCCTGACGGTAGAGCACATGCCGGTACTGCTGTTATTGTACACCAATCCCTCTCCCATCACCTACTCCCATTACCTACCCAATCCGCCGCTATTGTAATTAAAACCTTCTCCTTTTCGGTCACTCTTGCATCTGAGTTCTGCCCTAACTGATCCATATCCAATGCTCAGTTCAGTTTTCTCCTCGATTCGTTAGGACATAACTTCATCTTGTGAGCAGACCTACATGCTAAGCATCAACAATGGGGTTGAAGAACCACGAATTCCGCAATGTGGCTGAACATTATTGTCTGTACTCAATCCCAACGTTTTCACTTTCTTTACCCCAACTCTCCTACCTACTGGTACACAGACCCTGATATACTGAATAACAATTTATCACATCACCTCCTTGAACTAATCTATATGAAACGACCCGCCAGTGCACTGTGGCTATGTACCAGGCATCCCGTTGATCGCTCCTATAATTAATATTGCAAAAAACTAAAGCGAGAATTAGCCTCCTATAGATTCGAATCTTTTAACATCTACATATCCTCTCTCTCTGTTAGTGACGATTCCCTTTGGAAAATCACTAAAAAAATACTAAAACCCCACCAGATTTCCCAACCCGTCCGACGAGATTACGGTTTCTTGGCAGCATTTGACGAAGATAGAGCCGAGGAGTTCGCAAGCCGCCTCTAATATATTTATTCACCCCCCCCCATCCCACTCACAACGAAATATTAGAGAAATTCTTAACATCACCTGTCCCAATTCCCCTGCCTCCAAAAGAAGTTCATCCTTCCGAAGTAAAATTTCATTTATAAATCTAATCCTTCATAAATCTCCTGGATATGATCTCCTTATTCCCCAGATCCTTTGACAATTTCCACCAAGAGCAGTAATATTCCTCAACATATCTACAATTGCATCCGACCTACCATCCATGAGAAAACATTCCACTGTCATCCTTTTCCCAAAACATCCTACAGACCAATCAGTCTACTCCCAATTCTTTCAAAAATCTTTGAAAAGATTTTTTTTTATACGAATTATACCCCTCACAGAATCCCCAAAATCTTCCTTCCCATATAGTTTGGTTTTCGCTTTCAATATTCTACTGTTCAACAAGGACTCTGAGTTGTTGATCATATTTCATCAGCCCTAGAAAACAAGGAATAGTTTTCGGGTGCATTTCTGGATATAGCATAGGCATTTGATCGGGTGTAGCACGCCGGATTGCTCTTCAAGCTTAAATTCTATTTACTTCAGCCATTGTACTTAGTCCTCAGATCCTACCTCTATAAGCGCTCCTTTCGAGTTAGCTGTTCCATAGAATTTTCGAATATCTTCCCAGTCAAAGCCGGTGTTCTCCAAGCCAGCGTCTTGAGTCCCGTACTTTACATTACATCCTCTTTACCACTGACATTCCTATTTATCCCGATATCTTCCTTGCAACATTCGCTGATGACAACTCAATCTTATCATCCAACTCTGATCCCGAAATAGCATCCTCAAATCTGCAAAGCCACCTCTATTTGATTGAGCACGGGTGTACTGCAAATGCCTATGCTATGTCCAGAAATGCACCCGAAAAGTATTCCTTGTTTTCTAGGGCTGACGAAATATGATCAACAACTAAGAGTCCTTGTTGAACAGTAGAATGTTGAGAGCGAAAACCAAACATATGGGAAGGAAGATTTTATTGAAAAATAGAAGGAACAATAAGTATATATTGGAGTTTTGGCGATGGCCATATTCTCCACTCAAGTCATGTATGTGTGATCATAGCGCCTCTGTTCAGCCTCTATTGGTGCTTAATACCAGTAATGCGACTGAGTAAGAGGCGCTGGGATCTCTTAGAGTTCTGCCTTTCCTTCCACGAGTGGGGAGAGCGGCTTGGCTTGGAGATCTTGAGTGAATACATTTTTTAAATATTATATAGAAGCATGTGTGTATTTGGGTAGTTATTTTGATTAGTTTATTTTTCACAAATTTACTTTAAGTATTATTATTTTTCTGTATTATTCATTTATTTTTATTATAAATAGAGTGTGAATGTGCTTTTTGA